TAAATTTCTGTTTAGTTCTTTTTAAATTCCGCAAAGTCACTTTCTATAGTTTCCAATTTCCTGACAATTAAAAACTTACCCTTTAAACATAGTAAACATAATGTTTATAATTATAATTCATGTGAAAATTTTAGTATCTGAGTTCTTGAAAATCTATTTCTGTCATATATTGTTTCTGCTTGTTCTATGTATGAAATGTCATTTCCTTTTACATGATATCTTTGACTTTTGCTTTGGACATTGCATTCAAACAATTATTTGAAGGAATAACATAAGATCTAAAACGAAGATACTTTCTTCTAGAGAGGATTGCGTTTTATTTTTCTGTCAGGCATCTGGAGTCTCTACCAGTCTCACTCCACCTTAAATTGCAAAAAAGCTTGAGACAAATTATGTCATCCTAGGTTTTAGTTCATATGTTGACATTTTTGAGGTTCAAAGAGATAAAGTTGAAGATGAATTATGATGCCTTTCTGTTCTCTAACTTATTGTGTGAACTTGAGTTGAAACTTTTGTTCCTAATTTTTCTTACCTGTTAAAATAATATATAGTTGGTATCCCCCAAAATGGTGTTTTTCTTTTCTTTTTTGTTTTAAAGACTCCATTGTATTTCTCTGGTGTTTTTCTGTACCAGTTATGGTGTGTGCTGCTTTTGTTTTGCGTTATATTTTTTGAGTGCATGGCTTTTCCCAATACTAGATTATAATTATATTGAAAGTAGCGCTCATGATTTTTTACCATTTTTTTCACTATATTGAGAGTAGTAATTTGCTGTAGCTTCTCAACTCTTATTAAACAGATGAGTCAATGAGTGAATAAATTTTGGAAATGGGTGCATAGGTAAAAGTGATTAAACCAAATCAGTATTGCCATAGAAAAGGAACAAGTGTCTTTTCTATGTTAGGTCCCAGAGCTTCAATCTAATATCCGTTGCTATGTTTATCTATACAGTGTATTGGCTGATGGTCCTCAGAAAGCACAACTGGTCTGAGGTAGGATTTATGAATAGTGATCCAAATCTATAATAGAGCTTAGAAACAAAGCTTAAATACATTGATCAGAAGAGAAGTGATAGGATATAATAAAGTTTATTTAGGGCATAAATTTTAAAAGCATGTTCATCAATAAATAATTAACCCTCTTTAAAAGAGTGCTTAGTATAACCATTCCTAGTTTGTACCTTTAATCAATTCTAGTTGTTGTTTCTAAGACCAGATTTTGACAACAGACCTCTGAAAGGGATCCATTTGCCTAAAGATTTACTTATAATTTGGAATTAAAAATCATTTCTAGAGGAAATTTTAGCACATTAAAATCTAACATGATTTAGTTATGATATTAAGTAATTCTAAAGAGATGAAGAAAAACAAAAAGAATCACTAATATTTTATACCAAAGCATATATTTGTATATTATTTTGCCACATAAATTATTTAGCTCTACAATGCAGTTAATTACTATTTTAAGTTTGTTGTTTGTTTATTTTTTCAGGATCTTGGACATTTTATTCATGTTTTTAATCAACAAACATTTTTTTAAACATATACTCTGTGTCAGGCACTGTCAGGCCTGGTAAAGAAATCAAACCATTCCTTGATGTCATAAAACAAGACTTTCAGGAGAGACAAGTATTAAATATTTAAACAAATAAGTATGTAACTACAAATTGTGTTTAATGCAATAAGGAACAATTCCTACGAGGTATAAGAGAATATAATAGGGAGATCTAATTTAGATTTGTGTTAGGGAAAGAGGTTTTTCTCTAAGCTGGGACCAGACATATAAATAGGCGTTAGCCAGGGGATAAAGACTTCCATATATTTGTTTAAATGTCACCTTATAGGGTGGTATTTAAATTCCTGGTGATTATATTGCTACTAAACTTGAGATTTGTTACATTTTGAAGACTATGGATAAATAGAGAATATTATATGGTCCAAAATTATTGATAGAGGAACCATTCAGATAAGATCTTTCATGAATCATCTTTCCGTTGATTTGTCAATGAAGAGATGTTCAAAATCTATAAATGAATGAGATGTGTATAAGGATATAAGTACACACTCTCTATTGCCAGAATTTACAACATAATGTAAACAATCAATGCCCAATAATTCTAGAATTTCCTGAGTGTATTTACATGCTCTCTGAATATGATCTCTGTTTTGAAATTTCATTAATTCATTCTGATTCTAATGACCTCATGACCTACTTTAGGGTATTTAGAGCAATGCATAGTCATTGGCTAGGTCTATATTTTGTCCAAACAACCAAATGAACAGTAACACATTCTACTCATTGTCTGGAAGATTATTATGCACTTAAAAAATAAATATAAATATTTGGAATCATCAAGACGTTCTGTATTTTACACTTGAAGAATTGGTTCAATATTTACTTTTCACTCATTTGATATGATTTAGATTAAACAAGTCAGTATCATTAGAAATTTTTATTCATTCTCAAGGCCTTTCATCTATTGATCTACTTATCAATGTTCATTAGCGTCAAATATTACTATAACAGGAAAAAAATCAGGAGCTTAACAATATATTTTTTTTTAATTTTCCTTGCATTCTAGAATCCTAGACAGTTACTCAGTCTGGCATAGCATTTCAAGCCTCAAGGACATAGACTTCTGTCTTGTTCCTATGCTGTGTACGGTCTAAGTTACCAGAGCTTATACTTACCCAAGCTCCAGACATTATGTGTTTATTCCAGCTGGGAAGAAGTAGAAACAACACAAGAACAGTTGCACAAAGCACCCTTCTTACATCAAATTGGCCAGGATAAGTCACCTGGTCTTACGTTGCCTAAAAGGAAAACTGTGGATTGCCTTTATTCTCAGT